ACTATTATCGTTATTATTACTATTATCATTATTATTATTATGAATATTACTATGATAATTATTATGAATATTACGATAATAATTATTATGAATATTACTATTATTATTATTATTATTATTATTATTATTATTATGAATATTACAATTATTATTATGATTATGATTATGATGATGATGATTATTATTATTATCATTACTATCATGATCATTATCATCATTATCATTATCAGTATTATTATAATCATTATTATCCCTATCAGTAACATTATTATCATTATTACCATCATTAATATTATTCTCATTATCATCATTGGTATTACTGTTACCGTTATTATTATAATATCGTTATTATCATTATTATCATCATCATTAATTTCATTATTATTACTATCGTTATTACTATTCATATCGCTAATATTATCATTGTGATGACCATCACCCCTGATATCATTAACATCATCCTGATCATAGTTATAATAACTTAACATAGTTATAACATAGTTATAATAATTATCACCAGCATGTTATCTTGTGTTCGTCAATTGAACATATTTTTTAATAAGTTGAATGGCAACGGTTAGTCGCATCTTTATTTTACCCTAAACTTTTTTTCTTGTCATTTAAGTAATTAGTCATCATTAAGTAATTAGTTATCATCTGTTAATTAGTTTTGACGTATATCGGCCGCCGTGTGTACTACGTTAACGAACTTTTGATTTAAAAAACGGGGGAATAATGATAATAGTAATAATAATAGTAATGGTAATAATAATAATAATAATGATAATAATAATAGTAATAATGATAATGATAATGATAATGCTAATGATAATAACAATGATAATGATAATGATAATGATAATGATAATGATAATGATAATGATAATGATAATGATAATGATAATGATAATGATAATGATAATGATAATGATAATGATGATAATGATAATGATAATGATAATGATAATGATAATATTAAGGATAATAATAACAATAATAATAATAATGATACTGATAAAATTGGTTATCATAAAAAGGATAACGATTTTGATAAAACCGTAGCAACAACAACAAGCATTAACAAGAACATCATTAATAATAACAATAATAATAGCAATACTAATAACAACAATGATGACAATAGTATTAATAATAATAATAACACCAATGATAATAATAATGTTAACAATGAGAGTGATTCAATAAATCCGTGAATAAATGGGACAGAGAGAAAAAAGAGAGATTTTTAGTGATTCAATAAATACGTGAATAAATGAGACATAGAGAGAAAAAAAGAGATTCTAAGTGATTCATTAAATACGTAAATAAATGAGACATACAGGGAAAAAAAGAGATTGTAAGTGATTCAATAAATACGTGAATAAATGAGACATAGAAGAAAAAAAATAAATTCTTAGAAAGTTGCTTACGAGAGGAAGCGTGCCTACTCTGACGTCACAAAGTTTCCCGGAATTCGATTTTTTCCTCTTTTTTTTCTACGTGGTGGCAGCTTTTTCAGGGGTGGATGTCTTTGTGATTGAAACCATAAACTATTTAGATTAAAGGAATAATATATAAGAGTATTACTTCTTACTTCGGGCTATCAGAATTATTTATAATATTTTTTGTATATTTGAGTCTGTCTTCAGTTTCTCATTTTCGTTGTTCTCTCGTCTCTTCTTTCTGATGCATATAATTACAATTACACACACACACACACATACACATACACATACACATACACATACACATACACATACACATACACATACACATACACATACACATACACACACACACGCATACACACACACACAGGAAAACGTATACACAAAAAAACTCACCCTACCTTGCACAAGTCATTTACGGGAACAGAATGAAGAAAAAAAAACGAAATTGAACTAATTCCGTTTTTGTATAAGAAAAAAGACGAAAAAAAAAAATCCTAAGAACAACGGATAGTGGTAAACATGGTGTGTTGGCGTCGCCGCGTTGAATTGTGAACACTTCAACAACCAACCATTTATGGATAATTATTATAATTTACCTTATTATTTATAACGCTAAATTTTGCTATATTGTCATGCCCTCAAAATAAAAAAATACGTGAATGAACCTTTCGGTGGTGTTAGGCAAATTCTGCTTGGCCCAGACGTCTTTGCAATATTAACCAAAGCACCTTTTAAATGTCGAATCAATATCAATCTTGACGTGACTTCCCCTAAGGAAAGTATTAATATAGTGAAACTTAATGCCCACCATCCATATTAGTACTCTACTGGTTTATACGACATTAGCATTAGATACATAGAAAATATATGATGCTAGACCTATAAATGAATGAAAAAGCATCAACATGGGACCAATAGAAACTTACATCAACAAGACAAATTATCAATTACATATAAAATCAATAAACATGTTAACTATACAAAATTATAATTTGGCATGGACACATTATGGCACATTTGACAATGACACTATAATAATATCACTTCTCAACTGCATCACTTTGTCCCTTTTGGGCATCCGCCCATAAGCAATAATCTTGGGGCCAAGCAGAGGTGTAGAAGATACTTACCGTGCTTCCCTCGCCAGTTTACGGATGTCTTCTGCAATCTAATGACTGCGCCATTGGTTGTTTTTTCGGTCAGCTCTCCCATTCTTGGTTGGCTTAATCGTTAACTCCTGTCCCGGCTCAAGAGATTGCTGGTCCAACTAGCTGAACATGCCCTATGACTGCTTTTGGTGGTTACCCTCCAAGGACAAGTCTTCCTAAACTCTTTTGCTCATTTTGACGCCCATGCCTATCTGCTGCTCTGCAAATTTAGGTGGCACATGTCTGTGGTCGTCTCATCATCATTACCAACCATGTATACAATGCCCAATAATAATTTTTTAGATATAAATCCATTTACCAATATTATCTTTGCCACCAATGGAAGTTTTCAGAATGGCTAAAATTTATCACACTAACAGGGAACAAAAATGATGCTACTACTGCCAGCAAGTCATATCCAAAAATGTTTATATACAAAATGAAATTTCTCAAGATAAATTTTAATACAACTAACGAAAATGTTACTTTGGTATCACTACCAACACTAGGGGTTTTGGGTTTAAGGAAGCCCTAAGAAAATCAAATTTAGACTTGACTAATTTTAATGTGAGCAGCATGACTTGATGGTTTTAAGGCTCGTGGGTGGACTAAATTTACTCCTCTGTTGAGGTGGAGAAGGTACAGTTTTAAGCAATTTCTTATATTTTATAATCTAATACTAATAAACACTCATCCCCAGCTCCCCTGCATTTTCTTTCATTTTTACTTGAACAATTTCCCATACTTTACTTGATCTATTGTTCCTTTCCCATTGCATTCCTTGATACAATCGGATTTGTCTCCTTTGACCAATTCCGTTGCTGTATCCACGGACCCCCCAAAATAAAGAAAATAAAGAAATAAATAACAATAAGTGAATATCTACTAATAAAAGCTACCAGTAAACATGGCCTGTTGGGGTCCCCTCATTTTCCTCAACCTTTCTCTGTCACCACCTGTGAGAGGAGAGCAGAATCCCGTCTCAGTTATCACAATTCATTTCATATGGATTTAACATTTATATTAATTTAGCTTATCAAGCATTACAACCCTCAGTTTCCGGTCAAAACAAGATTCTGAAAGCCAGCACTTAACATACCTGTGTGAGAGGAGAGCAGAAACCCGTCTGAAAAACGGTCATGAATATCTGCCTACTCCCATCCCCCCAAATGAATTGTGAACACTTCAACAGAGCATCCATTTACAGATAATTACTATAATTTACTCTAACATTTATGAGACTCAATTTTGCGGTATTGATATGCCGTCAAAAAGAAAAAAGAATGAAAATTTCAGTCGGGTTTGGCAATTCTTTACAATTTCAAGCACTGCACCTTTTAAGATCGAATCAGTATCGAGCTCGACAATAATAATAATGATGATAATGTCATCATCCTTTTCATTATTAACAACGATAATAATAAAAATGGTGGTAATGATAAAGATTATAATTATAATACTAATAATTAAAGAAAAATAATGACTATAGTAATAATGATATTAATAATAATGATGATGATAATAATGATAATTATAATAATAATGATAATACTGATAATGATATTGATAAAGATGATGATAAAGATGATAGTGATAATAATGACAACATCAATGATAATGATGATAATAATGATATGATAATAAAGATAAATATAGTGATAATGATGTTGATTATAATTATAATTATATTGATAATAATAATAATAATAATAATAATAATAATAATGATAATGACATTCATGATATTCATCATAGAGATAATAATACTTATAATAATAATGATACTGATAATAATGATATTGTTACTAATGATAAAGATAATCACATTGATGATAATGATAAAGATAATGATATTGAGAATAACGATGATAAATGTCCCCCATAGTGCCTACCTGTAAGAACCATTGGCGGCCTCTAACACCCCCCGGCGCCAGATGTTGATTCATGATGACGTAATCAAGCGTTTCGTGTCCAGATTTTAATCACCTCCCGTCTTTTTTCCAGGAATAAGTATTAGTCCTCGTGGTTCTTGATTATATTCATATGCCTCATTTACAATGATGTGGTTACTGTACAGTCATCGTTATTATTGTTATTGTCATCATTGCTAATTTTGCTATAACCATTCTTATAGTTGTCAGTTTTGCCATTGCCATTATTATCGATGCTATGGTCATTGTTGCTTTATCGATGGTATTATTAATGCAGTATTGTTGCAATCATTTTTATCCTCGTTATCGTCGTCTTCATAATAGTTTTTGTTAAAATCATTATCAAAGTATTCATCTCACAATTAATGATAAATCACAATTAATGATTACTGCTTAATCATTTTTCTTCTCACTATCTAAATCTTACCTTTGGCGACATTTTCACCGACTCCCTTCCCCCCTTACAGCGAAAACCTGCATCGCCAAGGACAAGAGTCATGGACGACGACCTCCGCGCACGACTGGGCCACGACCCCAACTCGAACCTGGAGGAGGACCTGGAGAACGACGACGAACGGGTGGAGGAACTGCTATACGTCGCCTACCGAGTCGCCTTGCCCTTGATGGTCGTGGGCGGGATCCTGGTGACGACCTTGACCCTGGTGGTCCTTACGAGGCCGAGACTCAGAGCCACGCATGTCAACACGTTAGTATGGCGTCCTCTATGAAAGTGTTGAATCCTTGACAAGCATGTTAACAGTACATTATTACAGCGTCTACATCTATTCCTCGTAGGTTAATAACATTTATGTGGTGTACCCGAAGTAAATATTGAAAACGTTTCTATATATGTTAAGAATGCATTCGTCCGGTGTCCCCTTGAAACAAATTAAAGCTTTAAATGATAAACTAAACTGTACGTTGAGTTTGCCGTCGCTCGATGCACACGTTAACCCACTGGTTTGGCATTTTTCAATATGTTAAGGCATTTGGGCGTCACGTCCAAAAAATCATTATTATTTTTGACATTATCCTTTCACTTTATAACAATGATATTATTGATAAAATAATGAGGATGGTACTGCTGATAAAGATAATGATGATAATTTAAGGATGATGATAATAACAATGTTGATAGTAATAGTAATAATGATGATAATAATAGTAACAATTTTGATATTAGGATTGAAAATATTATCAATAACAATGGTAAGTATGAAATGGGGATGATGACAATGATAATAATGATAATAGTAATAATAGTAATAATGTCAATAACAATAATGATAATAACAACAACAACAACAACAACAACAACAACAACAATAATAATAATGATAATAATAACAATAATAATAATGATAATAATAATAATAATGATATTGATAATAATAACAATGATAATGATAATTAATATAATAATAATAATCTTAATAATAATGATAATAGTAACAATAATGTATGTAATAATAGTGATAATGATGATAATAATAATGATGATAATGGTAATAATAATAATATTGATAATGACAATGATGGTATTAATTATAATAATATTAATAATGATAATGATAATATTGATAATGATGATGATAATGATAATAATAATAATAATAATAATAATAATAATAATAATAATAATAATAATAACATCGATAATGATAATGATGATGGGATGATGATAATGACAATGATAATAAAAATAAACTTTATAAAGATAATGAGGATAACCATAACGAGGATAATGATAATAATACTGATAATGACGATAACAATAAAGATGACAGGGCATCAGTAAGATAGGTAGAGGAAAATAGATAAGAAGCAAATCATCACATCGTACATTATATAACCAAATGTAAATCTTCCACAATCTCAGATCGTCATATTTCAAATTTGCAACTCTTGCAAATCGAGAGAGATGCAAATGAGTCAATTATATACAGTTTTATACCTATTTTAGCTAGTATATACTCATAATTGGCCGGGCGACACCAGCTGTGCAAAAATGGTATGCCTCCTTTAGATTTAAAAAAATCATGTATATGTATGCATACACACTCACACACCCAACCCCTTTTTCTTTAATTCGCACAGTATCCCCAGACTTTTTGATCCCCTAGCTATTGCACCAGCTATTCTCCCTTCAATAACCCGTTTCACGTAACACATGTCTAATCCATCTCTTTTTGGTTTAAAAAATCCTTTCCATCCATTGCCTCTTTTCTCTCACCACTGACAACACCTTTTCATTGGTCTTCCTCTCTGCCCAGCTTCTTTTTCTTCCTCCAAACCCACATTTCAAAAGCCTCTATTCTCTGAATGTTCGCTTTCATTGTCCATGTCTATGATCCATACAAGAGTATACTTCAGACCACTATCTTTTTCTTTTTCTTCACACTTTGACTCATATTCCCGCTTAACAGTTCTTTCCATCTACTAAGAGCGCTCTTTGCCACAGCAATTCTTGCTCTAATTTCTGTATCACATTTCCCATCATCAGTCATCCATGATCCAATATAATAGATTACAACTTCTATTTCTTAGAGTGATATTCACAACTTCACCACCGTGTCTAAATATAACCATAACCTTTGTCTTCTTTACATATATCTTCATTCCATATTTCTGTGATTCTTCACTTACTTCGTCCATTGTTATCTGTAATTCGTTCTCAGTTTCCGCAACCGTGCCTTGATCTTCTGCAGACCTTACATGTTTCAATAATTCTCTTTCATGTCATGTAAACCAACTGCCATCATCCTCCCTGTGCAGATTGAAAATGACAGAGGGGACAGTGTACAGCTTTGTCGAGCTCCTCGATCTATTGTGCATGATTCATTCATTACTGACTACTGCTTCTTGCGTCATGTGTAATTTGCACATCAATATTCTGTCACGCCAGTCTTTTACAAGGTCTTTCATAATATCCAGCATCTTAACCAAGTCCACTCTATCAAAAGCTTTCTCTTAGTCCACAAAGCAGACATAGAGTTCCTTTCCATGATCCAATACCTATATCTATCTATCTATATATCTCTATATACATATGTATATATACACACATATGGATTTAGATATATAGATATATATATTTACAGATACGTATACATATACACATGTATATATATACATATATACATGTATGTATATAGATGTGTACGTATATATATACATATATATATATATATATATATATATATATATATATATATATATATATATATATATATATATATGTATATATATATGTATATATATATATATATATATATATATATACATACATATATATATATATATATATATATCTATATATATGTATATATATATCTATATATACATATATATATGTATATGTATATGTATATATCTTTGTATATGTATATATATCTATATATACATATATATATATGTATATGTATATATATATGTATATGTATATGTATATATATACATACATATATATATGTATATGTATATATATATATATATATATATATATATATATATATATATATATATATATATATATATATATATATGTATATGTGCACTACGTGACGGCCTCACTTCCTCCCGCAGGTACTTCCTGCTGCTGGCGTCGGCGGACCTCGTGATCTTCGTCGTGAGCGTCGCCACCGCCGTCACGCTCAACGGCTGCGAGCTCTACTCCCACGACTTCGCCCTCTACTTCGCCCACTTCTTCTTCACGCTCTTCTACATCGTGCAGACGTTTAGCATGTACATCATTCTGTGGATCTCCTACGACCGCTTCCTCGCCGTGTGGGACTTCAAGCGCTTCCACGAGATCCAGAAGCCCGGCGTCCTGCGCGTGCGCCTCGTGGGCACGCTGCTGGTGTGCGTCCTAATCCATATGAAGCACCTGTTCGAGGTCGAGATCAACTGCGTGACCGAGGAGAACCAGGTCGTGGAGGCGCCGGGGCCCTGCAGCGACGGCGTGTGGGTCGTCAACGACAGCCTGCACTTCCTGGACGGCAAGGTCCTGTGGCGCCAGCTGGTCTGGGTGCTGCGCGGGCTGCTGGTGCTCGTCATCCCCATCGTGCTGGTGGTGGTCCTCAACGGCGGCATCGTGGTGGCGCTCGTCTGCCGCCGCGTCAGGAACACGGCGGCGACGGCCAGGACGCGCGGTCGCGACCTCTCCCGCATCTACACCATCCTCGCCATCGCCGCCACCTTCATCGCCTGCACCGTGCCGTCACTCGTGCACGCCACCTTCTACGCCAAGAACATCGTTCGCTGCCACGGGCCCTACGGGGAGGAGGTCCTCCGCGCCGTCGCCAACTTCCTGCTGCTGTTCGAGCACGTCACGCACTTCATTATCCTGTCCTTCTGCGAGCTCTTCTGGGCGGAGCTGAGGCGCGTCCTCCGGGCCATCCGCCACAGTCTGAAGAACGGCGCGCACAAGGTCGCGTCCGGCCCCTCTCGCTGGCTCGCTCCCCGGGCGACCGCGGGCCCCCCCTCGCCGCCTCCTTCCATGCCTCCGCGGCCGGACTCGGTCGTCTCCGGCTCGGTCTTCATCATATCGCAGCCGGAAGTCACAATCAGCGTCCAGGGCCCCGCGGAGGACGGCGAGGCTCCTGCTGGCGGCGACGTGGCCAAGCTGCAGGACTTTCCGCAGACGACCTCCTCGCTCGCCACGCTGAAGCCGCCTGCAGGGAAGTCCCCCACGGCCTCCATGGTCACTCTGGAGGAAGATCTCTGAGGCGTGCTTTACCTCCTAACAAGGAATATTGCTTCAATATTGCCATTCAATATTTGAGTGTAAATCTTTCAGAACATCGAAAATCGTGATATTCCGGTACATTATACATTTACTTCTGAGAAGTATTTATAATCTGAAAGTGCTAAATTGTTTTAGCATTAGTTATTTCTGTACACTCCTACACATGTGCCATTTCATCATAGACCTTGTCGACGGCAGTACACTGGCGGATCTACACACTTTACACTGGAATGGGAAAGGGGGACAAGAGGTAATATAATGGAGGCCTAGAGGGAAATTACATAAAGCTTAAGTTATATGTATCAGAAAGAGAACACACACACACACACACACACACACACACACACACACACACACACACACACATACACACAAACACTTACACTTATATACATATATGTGTGTGTGTGTGTGTGTGTGTGTGTGTGTGTGTGTGTGTGTGTGTGTGTGTGTGTGTGTGTGTGTGTGTGTGTGTGTGTGTGTGTGTGTGTGTGTGTAGTTATGTATATATATAAAGTAAACCATAATTCTATTACTTTATTATATGACCAATCTTAGAGGCTCGTGTTAGGACCTAAAAAGATTAGAAAATTCCAGCAGATCCACCACTGAGTCTGCACAAGACCACGAGTTGTCAAATCAATTATTTATTATTCACTCGGGAAGTGTATATATGTAAATAAATCTTGAGAACTATAACCTACGTTTTGATAACCTTTTTAG